GCGCTTTCTAAATCACAAAGCATATTTACTACGTGACTCCCACACAATGTGTGATCAGATATGAGTGCTCCAAGAGAAAGGGCTGACAGCAGGATGCAGCCCAGGAAGAGAGAGCGCAGGGCACGGCAGAACCTCTGCGGCCCTCAGCACAAGTGTAACGTCAGCAGGGAAGAAACCACGGGGCGCCCTCAGCAGTGAGACATCTGGCTTCCTCACGACATTTTTCTGCTTTCATGTTTATTTGTCTTCATCCCAGAGATTACCAACCAAAGAGACACATGCAACAGGCATTTCACATTTTATGGTGGAGAAAACATTTCACGTTAGAAATAATCATCCAATAATTTCAGCTTAAAAAAAAAAGATTCCACAGTGAGTGGGAAGCAGTAAGTTCGAATTCATGTGTCACATGCCATTTCCAAAACCTTTCTGCAGGTCTAAGAGGATGTTTTTGGGGATACCCTCATGCCAGCTTCTCAGAAACAATCTCGACTTATAGCCACTTTATGGGAGGGGATTCATCACCATTCTGTTACCTAATGTATTTTAGCATATTTTAGGATTTACGAAAAAAAGATAGTGTGAACTGAAATAAAAATTCTAATGAGCATATTCATTAGGCCAGAATATCTCCTGGTAGGAAAACTTATCCTTTTCATTAAAATGAGATTTGAATGTGGGTTGTCGGTGGGAGTGGAGGCAGGGCCTTGTTCCAGGAACAGTGCGTGTCCATCTTGCAAGATCTGGGAAGCTGAGATGAGCAAGAAGGGAAAAGGCCTGTGTGCTCGCGGTCGGTAATGCAGAGAAAGCCGTGCTACCCACGGACGCTTTGAGGCACCGCGTTGCCTGGCAAAGGAAGCCCGAACCCCTTGGCTGCTGTGGGGTAGACACTCATCTACTTGCGTTGCATTCTGATGGGCCCAGAAAGCGTGGTTTCTTCTCCCCGTAAGGCTTACAGGATCTTCCTCATCAAGCTCCCACCTAGCTGAGTAGCACGGATGATTCAGATGTGTACTATTTTACTTTTGTTTCAAACAGTTTAAATGGTAACATTTACATACCCAGTTGATTCAAAGTTAGCCTCAGATGCTTCAGACCCTTTTACCAAATTTTCAATCTTTCAGGTGTTGCTCCCTCACTTCCAGATTCCCCACCAACTGCATATGGAAAAGGGACTTCCTGGACCCTCCTGGCAGCAGTAGGGAGGGGTCTGCAGACCACCAGGGCATCCTCTGCATCATTGCTGCAGACAGCCACATGGCCCACCCCTGAGGGGCAATTGGCCGTTTCTGGCTGTTTGTGGGAGACGTGAGACCATCTACCTCTGGGCCTTTGGTCGCAGCTGTTTGTCCCCAGGCTAGTGGGCCCGGCCCATGGTGACCTCTATATTCTCACTCCAGATCTTCATCAGGTCCCATCACACTTGGCACCACCTACCCCCTCCCTGGGGCAAACAGGAACTCCTGCACCCCTCACCCATCACCCCAGTGCAGGGGAACCCTGGAGGCTGCTGCAGACCTGTCTGTCCTGCTCTTCCATGCTTGCAGCTGGAGCACTTCCCTTGTTAGGAGGGGACAGCTGCAGGCTGCGTCTCCAATCTTGCAGTGTCGGGCAGCACAGCTGAGAAGGGGTACTGACAGTCCCGGGCCTCTTGGCTGCACGTGCCTGTCTGGGTGGTTCTATGATCCCTGATGCCTGCCTGTCCTCCCTGGTTTCCCTCTTCCCCCCAAGCTTCTAACCCTTTTGCATAACTACATAAAATTTGATAATATTTGTACTGCACACTGGGGTAAACTGGAGATTTTGGGACATCTATATGAGGCTTGCTAAAAAAATTGACTATATTGATTTTATAATAAATAATTATAATAAACTGAAAGCCAAGTACTAGGAAAGTTATAAACTTTTAAAAGTAAGATATTTTCCAATCTTTTAAGAGGACGTTAAGCTTGATCCTGTGTGTGTATATTTTACATTCACTTTTATCCCTAAAATAAGCACAAGCAATTCCTGACCAAGTTTTTACTGATGAGCCCTTCCAGTCCCACAGACTTGACATTGATGAGAAACTATTTTCACAGATGTTGGTGATGATTTAAAACCATTTTTACAGGAAATGTTTTACACCCATTTTGGAAATTCACAAAATTTTGGAATTTTACAAAAACTTTACAATAGTTGACATGACACCTAAAGGGTCTGTCAGCTCTGAGAGAATCCAGACCTGACTATACCACCTTTTGAATAAGCCCACCCACCATCTCAGAGGGACCTAGGTGTCCTCCTACTTAGGCTACAAGCATCCTCCAGAGGACAAGTCCGCAAGCCACAAGCCCACCTTTCCCCTGACCCTTCCCCTCAAAGAGCCCGCCAAAAAGCCCTGGCCATAAAAAGCCTCTTGACTTGCTAGAGGCCCTCTTTCCTCTGTTCAGCTGGCCAGAACAGAGGGGTCCCTCTCAGGTTCAGCAACAAACCTGCTCGGACTGTTGAGCTCGCATCCCCTCTCTTCTTTCATACGGTGCCGAAACCCGGGAGCAGGAGCCGAGAGGAGGGGGTCTTCTGCAGCCTGGGAAGCAGCTCATCTCGGGCTAAAGCCTAATCCTGGGAGTCTCCTGGGTCTCATCGCATTTCCTTTCCCTCGCTCACCCGACACCCCCTCGCAAACTCCAGTCCCGGGACCGTCTTGCCAGACTTCAATCTACACATCCACCACCGGCCATTAACCCATCGCAGGTCCCAGGAGGGTGAGATCTTGGCCTCTCATCGGCTCTCTTGGCGCCAAGAGAAAGTTGGTCCGGGTCCCCTTTCCTTTATCTTTTCTCCGATTGAGAACACCGCAGGGGGACCTCCTGCACTCCGACTGGGGGGACGCTGCCTTTCGGGGTGCAGGACAGTCCGGCTCCAGGAGCCTCCGGGGGAGAAACCGATCGCAGAGAGAGGTCCGGCGGTGCGCTTCCCAAACCCCAGCCGCCCTTTCTCACCCTCCCGTAACGGGCAATTCTCCTTCAGACATCGGGAGACACGCCCTCAGCTGTTTCCTATGTAATCTTCTCCAACTGGGATTAAAACGAGACACCAAACCAAAAAAAAAACTAGTCTTTTACTATACTTCCATGTGGCCTCAATATAAACTTAATAATGTGTCACACTGGCTAGCTGAGGGCGATTTCTATTTCCCAAATTCGCCGAGATCTTGACAACTTTCTCCAGAGGCCTGGCAAATGGTCAGAGGCTCCCTAAATCCAAGCCTTCCCCCTCCCTCGGCAACCTTCCTTTTGTTTTTTGTCTCCTTTCCCCCCCACAGCTGCCAGCCTCAGCTGCTATCCTGGGAGGGGACCAGAGGGGTAAAATTCTTACGTTAATTTTGCAGTTACCCGAGGACTGGTAAGATACTTTCTACCTCCAGATGGTACTGCTAAAAAATTAATTGATTTAAGGACAAACGCTTGTAAAAATTGGGCACTCCAAAACTTCCAGAAATTCACTTCCAGAAATTCTGATAGAAGTCACTCAGCATTAATGCTAATTTCTAAGTCTTTTCTGATTTATAGTTACTGTTCTACTCCTGAACTAGTAAAGAACTAGATTCAGGCAAACCAAAGATTAGTTACATAAAATTAATAAACAGGAAGATAATTTTAATTTTTAGGCAAATGTCACTAATTTCTTAGACAGAAAAAGAAGTGTCTGTTTCAACCTTTTTCTCTTAAACAAGCTTACAATAGTTTAATAAATTATACCTTTAAAGGAGAATTGAATCATTTATCTTTCTCTGCCTGATCCCTCCAGAATTTAAAAACTCTCAGTGAGTATTTTTATATTTTATGGCAGTATATTTATTTGTTTGCTTAAGTTCAAAAAGAATTTGCTTTCCTTGTAAAAGGACCAATTAAAAACACTGGTTATATTACCAAGGCTTTGACTGGAATGTCATACCTAAGAGACACGTGCATAGACTCAGATATGAACAGACAGCTTTAAGGAAGAATTGGTCTGTACCTTGCTTACAGGGTTCCCAGCAGCCTTACCGAGTGAGTAAGGATGGTCACTTCCTGGCAGGTGTAGGAACCTCAGAATATCTTGGGGACCTCGAGAAGAGAGGAATTCACCCAAATCTACAGGAACTGTATACAAAACTGGCAAGTCTGGCTTGGTTTTCTGGTCTTGACAGGCCTTTAAAAGCTCAATCTGAAATTCCTTATAGAAGTCCCAGCAAAGCACATCTGAAAGAGCCTGTGCCATCAATGGCTGTTCTTGCTGCACTTACGTAAATAATCAGGCCAACTGTTTTAAAGCTAAACTTATTTTATATTAATAAAAATGAGGGTAATTTTATAAAGAAAAATTGTGTTTCAATAGTGCAGTCTTATACAAAACTGGACAGCTACATGTAAGAGAATGAAACTGGATCACTGTCTAAGCCCATACACAAAAGTAAATTTGAAATGGATAGAGGAATTGAATGTAAGTCATGAAACCATAAAACTCTTAGAAAAAAACATAGGCAAAAATCTCTTAGACATAAACATGAGTGACCTCTTCTTGAACATATCTCCCCGGGCAAGGGAAACAAAAGCAAAAATGAACAAATGGGACTATATCAAGCTGAAAAGCTTCTGTACAGCAAAGGACACCATCAATAGAACAAAAACGTATCCTACAGTATGGGAGAATATATTCATAAATGACAGATCCGATAAAGGGTTGACATCCAAAATATATAAAGAGCTCACTCACCTCACTTCATTTTTTTTTTTTTTGAGAGGGCATCTCTCATATTTATTGATCAAATGGTTGTTAACAACAATAAAATTCTGTATAGGGGACTCAATGCACAATCATTAATCCACTCCAAACCTAATTCTCAACAGTCTCCAATCTTCTGAAACATAACAAACAAGTTCTTACATGGTGAACAAATTCTTACATAGTGAATAAGTTCTTACATGGTGAACAGTACAAGGGCAGTCATCACAGAAACTTTCGGTTTTGATCACGCATTATGAACTACAGACAATCAGGTCAAATATGAATATTCGTTTGATTTTCATACTTGATTTATATGTGAATCCCACATTTGGGAGAGACCATTTTAACTTTTTTTGGTCACAACTGGAAAACTCCCAAATGATACAAAGATAAAGGCTTTTGGAGCAGAAGAGGTTTGTCCCTAGCAAAAAAAAATGGCCTGCCACGCTGTTACCCAGCTCCCCACAATGGGGACATTTGAACCTGAATTACAAAGCTGCCCTCTGGGAAGGATGCATTTGTGGAAAGAAGCCACAGATTTACCTCTCGTTTTAGCAACGTGATGGCCTTTATCCCTCACCTTAGCCTGTACTCTGCTCCTGCAGTGGCATCCAGTACTAACCATACTAGTTTCCTGGGGCTGCCGTAACAAATCACCAAATACTGGGTAGCTTAAAACAATGTAAACTTATATACTCACACAATTCTAGAGGCCAGAAGTCTGAAATCAAGATGTCGGCAGGGCCACACTCCCTCCGGAGGCTCTAGAGGAGACCCTAGTCCCTGCCTCAGGTCTCAGCTTGTGGTGACAGTCAGCATTTCTGGGCTTATGGGTACATCATTCCAACCTCTGCCTCCATAGTCATATGGCCCTCTCTCCTCTCTGCCTCATACCCCGCGGCCTCCCTCTTATAAAGACACTTGTCATTGGATTTAAGGCTCACTCAGATAATCCAAGATGATCTCCTCACTAGAGAACTTAACTTAATGACATCTGCAAAGCCTCTTTTTTCCAAATAAGATCACACAGGACATGGACACATCTTTTTGGGGATCACCATTAAGTTTACTACAGGTCATTAATATCCTTTAAAACCTGTCACTGATCATTGAGCATCTTCTGGAAGAAATACTCTTTGACACTGTGGTGTTGTCAGGCAGTCCCATCAGGGGAGGTCTCCCTGTGCACTAAGTGAGACCTCAGCCTAGGAGAGGATTCTTGATTCTGGTGGAGAAAGAGAGCAGGTTGAGCATGTGCAAGCGCAGGGTAGTTCATTAAAGTGAAAGCACACACTTGAGGAGGGAGTACAGGCATGCCTGAGGTGAGCAGCATGGCGAGGCTTCAGTTGGGTAGTCTTACAACTGGAGTTTAAGCAAAAAGTAAGCATTTTCATCAGGATAGATGAGATTTGCTCCAAATAAAGCCCTCCTTTTGTCCTGATATGGTCAGCCTCAGAAATATCATAAGGTGCCAAAGGGTATGATAAACATAATATGTTAATGAGTGTATGATGAACTTTGGGTAACAGGGTTACCTTGGTTGCCCACCTAGAATCTAGCTGGTTTGCTTTTTTTTTTTTGTTGAAGTATCCAAGATATACAGTCTTATATTAGTTTCAAGTAGCCTAGCTGGTCTGCTTTTGCTTAACCTGTTTTGCCAACGGTTCATTTCCCTAGAATCTAACTGGTGTGTTTTCACTTGATCTGTTTTACTGGCCACACAAAATGGCCTGAAGCTACTAATACCTGGTTTCTTAACTCAGCCAGGGCCTGTCTCTCTTCCTAAACTACACTGCCTCTGTCAGTGGCACTCCATGCCAAATAAATTGCATTCCAATGTGTAAAAAGAAAAAAAATGGGAAGTGCTGGTTTCACAGCAGTTCTTTCTACATATTTTCACTAGTCTTTAAGCTCAAAACTCTCCAGGTTACTTTTTCTATTGTTTATTAAAGCCCTTAAATTTTTTCCTTGTGGCTTCTCTTATTAAAATGAAGTCATTTTACAAAAATAAAACAAAAGAAAATGTTATTGGATATTTGGTTAAGTTTTCCCTTTGATTTTACTTCTGGGAACTTAAGAACAGCTCCAAGTCTGGAAAGCCACAAATCTACCAGCCCCTGTTCAGTATGCACAATGTTAGGTTGGAGGAAGGAAAAACAAGGACATGCAAACAGAACAGAGATGCCATAGCGGGAGAACAGACCAGACCCCAAAGTCCGTGCCTTATATGGAAAGGCAACAGCTCTCCCTGAATTTCATCCTTCTGATATGCCAACTAAGACCCGGATGTCAGCCTCCTCCCTCTTGGAAGGAAAAAACCTTTCTAGTTGTCTATCATGACACCTTTAGCCAATCATACCTCTCCACACCCCCTAGGATAGCTTGCCCACTCCTCCCCCTCCTAACCCCTTATAAACCCCCACCTCCCTGACCGGGGGTGACTTCCCCAGCCTGTGTTTCAGACCAGGGAACATCACCCGGGAGTGGCATTCAAATTAACTACCTGGCCCTTTGTTGCCTCTCTTTGCCTGCTTATTTTGGCTAAAATTTATCTTACACACATCTCTGCCAAAGACCAGGGTAAGTTGCTTTGGGTTTTGTTCCTTTGAGTAAAGCCTTGTGGCCAATGGAATTGAATATCATTTTCAAAGAACTGCTCTGAAAGGAATGATTAAGTATTTAAACCTTTAAGGTCTATAAAATATTAACCCAAAAGAGGAAAAAAGAAGAGAGTTTTGAAGGAATCTGTATATAAATATGAAAAGAGATGTTCATTTTTATTCTACTTCAAGAGAGAGGCTTTAGAATGTTTTCAAATGAGGTCCCTGATCTAAGGAATCTTAGGGCACCAATTTGGTCCTGAGATTTAATGCATTCAGGATGATGCCAAGTTTCTTTTTGTACAGAGAGAACATCACCTTGAGCTATAAATGTAAACTAGCTCTTACATATTGAAATCATCACCTATCTTTCCAGTCACTTTATTAATATTTTTTATCAAATTTGCCTTCATCCTAGTCTAATATTTTAGGTATAAGTACTTCCCAGGATGCATCTTTCTTCACACTAAATCTTAAAGTTCTCCACAAGAATGCAGCCCAAAGTTATGGCACGATCTGAAGGTCCAGAATACTTTAGAACACAGCTTTCCTACCTATTTTATATCTATTTTACAAAAAAAAATGTTTCATACCTGTTTGTGGGTAGAATTGTAGTATTTCCAGACTCTCAACGGGCTTTAGTTCTTCTGCGTATCAATAGGTGTTTCCAAGGGGTGGATAGAATTAGTCCATCAACATATCAATAGGGAATTACAAGGACAGGCGAGGGTTTATCTGGACTGGAGAGGTTGGGTGGAGCTCTCTTCTGCTTCAGCCTGCTGGAGAGGGACAGGATAATTACTTGTGAGAAAAAAACGAGTTTCTTCACTTTATTTCTCCCTTTGACTGATTTTGGTTTCAAAGGTATTTTGCCCTGGGGTTTTCCTCCTGGATCTACACGTGGCAGTGGTCAACAGGACCTCTGAACCCGAAATCTGTCTAAATGGATGCAGCCCTTGGGCTGGATGCCTCTGTGGACGGTGGGGAGGACCCAATGGCTGCTGCGGTAGAGGGTACAGCTTCGCTCCGGAGGCCCCTATAAGTGGGGCTTCCAACTGGGGAGCCGTGAGTGGGGAGCTGGACAGGGTAAAGCACCTCTAGAGGGGTGGGGCCTTCCCCAGAATAGGGGAAGAGTGGAGAGACCAAAAACTGCAGAATTAGTCCTGCATCAGATAGAAGACTGCTTAGAGGCCCTGCGTGGCCATGTAGCAGCTGGCATTGCAGGATCTCTTTCCATCAAGATAATGGAAGGAGTTATTGAGAACAGAGAGAGGGTTATTGAGGGCAGAGACTTAGGCAGAAGAGAGACACACTTCAGCATTGCTTGGAGGAGCTGGGTGATGACCGATGGGATGCCCTTAAGAAAGAGAGGCAGTTATTGAGACAACAGGTCATGCTTCTGGCAAATTCTTTATCAGCAGTGAGTGGGGAGGCAGCAGGAGAGTCCACATTGCAGGAGGCTGTGGGGGATGAGAAGGAAAGAGCAGTGCCTTCATCTCTGGAGGTGGTGGAGGGAGTGTCAAGAGAAGATGCGGGGGTGGGGTCGAGGGCCAATGGCACCAATTCTCCTGTATTAAAGGCCCACCCAGTTGTTATTCAGGAAGTACAAACACAACAACAGCCGGCTCCTGTGGGCAAGGACCCACCCCTTCCCCAGGTTGTGGAGCACTCCATGCTCTGCCCCTATACCCAGGATGAGCTGGTGGATACAAGCATCCGGTATAGACAGAAGCCACTGGAACCTCTGCGGCTTTTGTGTCTCTGGGATAATGAGCATGGAAAACAGTTATGTTGGGTTCTGAAATGAGTAGACTGGCTTCCCTGATGACTCACCTTTCCATCTGGCAGTGGTTGCAAAATGCCCATCACACCTACCTCAGGGAATCGGGTGCTTCTGGACTGGCTGACAGCAGCCATAAGGGCAGTTTGGCCTAATCAGGGTGATTTACCATTTTTACCCACTAGCTGGGAAATGTATGCAGAGCTCCAGCAGGTGTTGCGGGAGTTGGGCATGAAAAATATCTATAATATGGACCCCCAAGACCAGGATGAGGAGTTGTTCACAGTAGGAATAGGGAATCGGGTGCTCCATTCAGCAACCCCATCTCTCTGGGTTCCTAGTAACTACGCTTGCCCCCTACATAAGGCAACCCGTAAGTGAGGGTCCTTGTACTCTAGCAGATCTGGGGGAGGTTGAAACAAAAAGCACAGAAGGAAGTACAGGCTACAACTGAAAGGAGAGCTTTAAAGGGCCCCGTGAAAGTCTCGAGAACCCAGACGTGGGTTGATTTGATAAAAGCTGGGGTAGTGAAAGAAAAACTTGATGGGCAGTTTTAGTTTTGTTAGACCTGTGGCACCAATTAAAGCAAGAACAGCAGTTCCAGCCACTGAGGTGCAGGACATGGAAGCTCGAGGCAAAGCCCCATGTCCAGCCTGTGTCCCTCCAAGACTTCCTGGGGACAGTACTCAGGATCCACTTGGGCCCTCACACCCACAGGAGGATGACTGGGCATCATCGATCAACTAAGGGGAAGGTCAAGGCCCCCACTTTGGGGGACATGGTGGGGACCAGAGGCAACATGCAGTATTAGCAAGACAATGGGGATTAGAAAATTACTGAGATCCATTTGAAGTGCTTTTTGAGCATCAAATTGGAAACACTCAACAGCAAGTTGGCAGAGTAAGTGTGAAGCTGGGAGTTGGGTGTGATGACTGGTGAGAGCAGTGGTAGCTAAGCAACACAGGGTGGATGAAACTAGCTAGAGAATGTGTCAGGATAGAAGAAAGGGCAGTCTTAAATTCTGGAAGACACAATTCAAGGGTCAGGTGGAAAAGTTGATCCGGCTGAGATAGTGTCTTGCCAATGGGTTTCAGCCCCAGGCAAGTTCACTATGGATTCAATATGACCAAAGAAATGACAGTAGAATGTTCTTGGGGTGAAAGGGTTATTATACCCAACTTTATTTCCACAGTAGCAGGTCAGTCACTAAAATCCCGTTCACTCAGAGTGAGTCTGTGTGCAGCAAGTCGGTCTCTGCCTCTGGGCCTCTCTGCCTGCACAGCCATCCCACACAGCTGTCCTCTAGGCCTCTGTCCTCAGTGATGCCACCACTCCAGCCTCTGCTCTGCTCTCCTGCAGCCGTGCCACCATGTCACCCAGAACACTGGGTGGAGCTCTTTATATAGAGTCAACAGCCATGTATTGCCCACACCTGTGTACTGAGCTAGCCAACCAGGGCCAGGTGAGAATCCTGGCCATAGGAACTCTCATTTTATCCACACTCCACCCCTCCAGGATTCTCTCCTCTCCGTCTATGTGCCCTTAATCCTCCACAATGGTCCCTGTGTGAGAAAGCTGGAGCATTGTAACCAAATTCTATAATAACAATAGCAGCTACAACAATACACAAATAATAAAAATTACAACAAATTATAATAACCCTCAAGCCTGAGGAGATCCACTGCCACCAGGTGATCACACATCCTGGCTGCATTCAAACCAGTTCTACTCAAATGAGTTAACCTAAAGGACCCTGGGGGCGCCTTACAATACCCACCTTCTCCAGCCTCTCCAGCAAAAAGTCTTGAAGACACACAGGCCGATCTTGTTGCTTTGTCCCTGCCTTCTGCTGCGTCCTCAGCAGCCGGAACCACTGCTCTGGTCTCAGTTGCCACGGCTCCAGTCATCCAGTTTCTCTCTGTCTGCTCCTGCCTTTTCAAACCAACCCACATCTGGGTCCTCGCGACTTTCATGGGCCCTTTAAATTCTTCCTTTGAGAAGCAGACCGTATGTCCTTTTGTGCTCAAGCCTGGCAGCCTGCGCTCTCGTGCTACTGCCTCTCNCCTTTAAATTCTTCCTCTGAGAAGCAGACCGTATGTCCTTTTGTGCTCAAGCCTGGCAGCCTGCGCTCTCGTGCTACTGCCTCTCGGGCCACAGCACTTTGTAGGGACGCCATTTCAGTCAGCTTCCTCTTGGGGTGGACCCCAGTCCTCCACCCCTTCACAGTACGACATGCCCACAGGGGACACTCGGATGTCTCCCCGTCCACAGGTGCAGCCTGTTGAAGCACTCCTTCCATGAGGGCAGCCTGTTCTTTTTCCTTGGTCAACAATGAACCCTGCCCACTGTTGCCAATTGTCTTGCCAGTGGATTTCAGCCCCAACCAAGTTCATTATGGATTCAATGTGACCAAAGAAATGACAGTAGAACATTCTAGGAGTGAAAGGGTTATACCCAACTTTATTCCCATGGTGGCAGGTCAATCACTAAAATCCCACCCACTCAGAGTGAGTCTGCATGCAGCAAGCCTGTCTCTGCCTCTGGGCCTCTCTGCCCGCACAGCCATCCTCTGTGCCTCTATCCTCGGCACTGCCACCACTCCAGCCTCTACTCTCCTGCAGCCTTGCAGCCCTGCCACCATGTCGCCCAGAGCACTGGGTGGAGCTCTTTATAGAAAGTCAATAGCAATGCATTACCCACACGTGTGTAGTGAGCTTAGCCAACCAGGGCCAAGTGAGAATCCTGGCCACAGGAACTTTCATTTTATCCACAGGTATAAACCCTTTCACCCCAAGAACATTCACCTGTCATTTCTTTGGTCTCACTGAATCCATAGTGAACTTCTCTGGGGCTGAAACCCACTGGCAAGACACATGCATACCTTCAAAACACATTTATTGAGCATCTACTATATGGCAGGCACTGTTTTAGATGCTTGGGATATACCTATGAAGAAAACACATAAAGAACCCAGCCTTTATGAAGCTTTTATCATAGCAAGGTTGATAAGACAGGAAACAGAGCAACAAAAAATTAAAAATCTATAAATCATCTGTAGAGGGTGACAAGTGCCACAGAAGAAAAAGAAAACATTGGAAGGAGATAAAGAAAGTCAAAATGAGGAGATGGGTTGCAATTTTTTAAAAGGATTGCCAAAGCAGAGCACAATACAAAGGCGAGACTCAAAGGCAGTGAGGGGATTTGCCATGTGTTATACGAGCAAGAGAAAAGATGGGCACAGAGATATGCAGGGAGAGAGAAAGAGAGAGTATCAGGGAATTAAAAAGTATTTTTTAGTATCAGAGAAATAAAAAGATAAATTCGCTGCCAAAGGAAAAATATTGGTGCAATGTAGCTATATATTTGTTGGTGGGAGGAGCCAGTAAAAAGCATTTATCTCTTTATATGAGCTCTGCGGGGAGGCAGCATGGCATCTCTGGTCTCGGCGTATTACGCATGTATCAGCAGCAGGATCAAGGAAAGGGCGCAGAGGGTCCTCAACTAATTAATAGGATCTGCTCCCATCAGTCACACCCCCCCGAGAAGTTCAAGCTCATTATCACAGAACAGCCAAGCAAGGAATGTCATAGTTATTACTCATACCTCTTCATTGATTCATTTGGCCAGCAATTATTTATTTATTAAGCTTAATTTATTAGAATTGTTCATGCCCATAGTAAATAAGGCCTCTTAACTCACCTATGAAACAAATTTAACTAAAATTACACATTACCTAAGGAATTCCTCTTTCAACTAAAAGCAGCAGCCCCACTAAGGTAAAGTTTGTCTACAGAGGTAGGAAGTTTTTGAGATTTCATCAGACCAAGAAAGGATGATTGTATAGTTTATGTCCAAATTTCTCACATGTTCGGTATTTTCAAGGACCAGGAGAGTGTGACTCCCAGAGGAAAGTGGCATCATCCTGGCAGAACTGATGTGTGCTCAAAACTTCAAAGAAAAGATGAAAACTCAGATTGCCACAAAAACCACTGCAGAAACTGAGAGGAATTTCCATTTACTAGGAAAAATCATGGGGTTATTCTGACAAAAAAGTATTCCTACTCACCACCTGTCTGAAAGGAGGTAAATGGTACTGTCTTCCTCCTTTACACTAGACTCCTTGCCTGGAGACCAACTCTGAAAACAATTCCTAAATATGACCCATTAGTCCTTAACTGTGGTTCCTCAAGTCAACAGATCACCACCCACTTTGTCGTTTTTCTATGTCCATTCACAGGCTACAAATCAGACCAAACATGGCAGGGCAGGTATGCATGGACAGTGGCTCCACGTAATGCAGGACATGTAGCCCCTGCAGGGGAGCACTCTAAATGGACATGGAGATTCCCGGGCAGAAGCAGCCCTGGCAGTGGCTCTGCCCGTGATTAGAGCTTCTCATGGATTGCTTCTGCTCAGAGTGTCCGACAGCCAAGAACTGGGAGCAGGGGAAGCTCCCGCCTCATTCAGTCACGCTGCATTACACAAATGTTGCTCAATGTTAGAAACTTGGCTAGATGCTGTCCACATCACTCTCCTCTGAACAGTAAATTGGACAAGGGGATTTGGCCAGTACCCAAGTAAACAATGAGTAAAGCCAAGGGAATTCCATTCCTCTAGTCCACTGACAAAGACAGAGTCTGGATATTTCCTGCCTTGTTTAAATAAAAGCAGGAAAGAATCTTTGGACCAATGAGAGTATGTTCAGAATAAGGGGAAAGTAATACTCTCCTAAATATTCAGAGTAATAGAAGATGAGTGAAATTACTTATTACAAGAAATAAACAGTCATTTTGGAAAATATGCATCCCTCAAGAGCCCAAGAAGCTATCATTCATATAAAGAAAATCACAATAAAAGGCAAGGTAAAAATATAACAGGATGAACTGCAAAGATATTAAATTAAAATTCAAAAGAGCTCAATGTATTGCACAAGAATATAAAGAGATGAAATTTCATACATGAGGTAGAAAATCCTAACCACAGGAAGGAAAAGCAGAAGTATTGTTACAGAATTAGAAATCATAGATGTGGACAAAAATCTTGGAGAAACGAATCAAAGCCTACGAATGGACACCCTCCTTTGTTGGGAGAGAGAGCATTAAAAAGGAAATTTAATGGACATGAGAGAAGAGAGAGCAGAATCCAGACCATATATCTAAACCCTCATTCCCATATTCCCATATTAATTGCCAAAGCCTCCAGCACTGGAAAAGCAAGAGGAAAAGCAGTCGTATGGTGTTTCTGCAAGTATGCCGGCTGGGTGTCTCCCACCCACCCTTCCCTTCTCCTGCTTCTCTGTGCCCTGGAAGGTTGATCTTTAGGCACATTTGCCTTCCCATCGGAAGACACCTGCAAAAGAGTAAAGGAGACGAAAATTAGGCTTGAGATGGATTAATGATTGTACATTGAGCATTGACCCCCCTATACTGAATTTTATTGTTGTTAACAACCATTTGATCAATAAATATGAGAGATGCCCTCTCAAAAAAAAAAAAGAGTAAAGGAAAGGAAAAACCTGAAGTACTATTCCCCACCTCTCTCATGTGACCACGGAGAAGCCTATCTCTCTATAGAAGGCCACAGTTCCTATGGGGTGGCCTTTCCTGTGGCTTCCTTCTCTGGGATGCAAGAGCCATGCCCTCTTCTGGCCTCTGCATGCCTGGGGGTGGTAGAGGTTCCCTGCTGTTGCTGAGCTACACTGAGGGGTACTGCACAAACTTTTGTTGAATTGGGCACCCTAAATCCTGCCTATATCTTTATAAACAGTTTATTAAACTTTCCTCAATTATCCCAGTTTGCATGCACCAACCATTTCCTGCAGGACCTTGATTGAAAGATATGCACCACAAAACACTCACCAAGATTAGTGTAGTTGCCATCTGTCAACATATAAAGATATAATATTATTTATTGTATTTCCTACACTGTACTCTCAGCTCCATGACTAATGTATTGTATAATTGGATGTTCGTACCTCCTCATCCTCTTCACCTACTTTGCCCACCCCTTACCCACCTCCCGTATGACAACCACCAGTCTGTTCTCTGTATTTTAAGCTTATTTCTGTTTCATTTGTTTGTTCATTTGTTTTGTTTTTAGATTCCACATTTAAGTGAGACCATATAATAGTTGTGCTTCTCTGTTTGATTTATTTCACTTAGCATAAAATATATAATGAACTCATAGAACTCAATACCAAAAAAAAAACCCCAAATAATTCAGCTAAAAATCAGCACAGCGCACAGGGAGGGCTGTTCAACACAGAGAAGACAAGTAGTGATTCTATAGCATCTTACTACACTGATGGACAGTGACTGTAATGGGGTTTGTGGGCGGGGGACTTGGTGAGGGGGGAGTCTAGTAACCATAATGTTGCTCATGTAACTGTAGATTAATGGTACCAAAAAAAAAAAATCAGCACAGCACAAGGAAGACAATGTAGCTCAGAGAAGACAAACAGGGACTCTGTGGCATCTTACTACATTGATGGACAGTGACTGCAATGCAGTATGGAGGGGACTCAATAATACGGGGAAATGTAATAACCACATTGTTTTTCTTGAGAAACCTTCATAAGAATGTATATCAATGATACCTTAATAAAAAAATTAATAAATATTTTTTCAAAATCAGCAGAGGACTTCAATAGACATTTTTCCAAACAAGACGTACAGATGACCAACAGGTACATGAAAAGATGCTTTGCATAACTAACCAGCAGGGAAATGCAAATTAAAACCATAATGAGATATCACATCACACCAGTCAGAGTGATAGCATCCATAAGACAAGAATTAACAAGTATTGGCAAGGATGTGGAGAAAGGGGAACCCTCGTACACTGCTGGTAGAATTATAAACTGGAATGGCCATTCCAGAAAGCAGTATGGAGGTTTCTCAAAGAACTAAAAATAGAAATACCATATGACCCAGCAGTTCTACTTCTGCGAATTTACCCAAAGAAAACAAAATCAGTAATTTGAAAAGGTATGTGTACCTCTATCTTTATCACTATATTGTTTACAATAGCCACAATATGGAAGCAACCTAAGTGTCC